CTCAAAATTGCCATTTTGACAAAATGGACTGCCGACCTGCAACAAAGAATGCCAACCGGCAATATACATTGCCGATGGCAACAAAACACCAGCCGGTGGCCTCTAGCCATGGCCAGTGATGTGTGGGGATGCCTCACAAGGCATTCCCTGCCCCTCCAAGGCAAAAAACAAGTGTTTGGTGCAAAACCAAACACTAAACAGTCGAGTTTGGAGATCCTGAGGCAAAGCGCGTAGCCGAAACCTCCGGGAACTCCAAACGAACACAAACATGGATGATCACCGGGTGTTCAAACGGTGACGTCCAAGTCTTGAGGACAGTCAAAAATGGGGTGTCTACAGCACGTCATATCCTCCATGTTGTCTATGGGGTGTTGATCTGTCAAGACCGGTGTATACTCTCTTTTTGAGGTAGAAAATTGGGCCCGACTGAGCACATATGACGTAGATAGTGACCGCTGAATTGCCAACTACTGAACCGGTGATCTATGCCTGACTTTCCTCCGTCTCGTAATCAGGGGTAGCAAAGCAAACACTGGTTGTCCTCCAATAAGATCCTCAGATTGGTAAATCCGCCTGACTCGAGTCTAGAGTGCTCGTGGGGTAACTGCCTCGTCGGAAGCAATTGTGAAATACTACCTTTCAAAAAGAAAAAGAAAAGGAAAAAAAAACAAAAATCAAAAAACGCATAGCACCTCGGCTTTAGACAGAAACAACACACTGTTGAAATCGAAAGCTAGACGACTGCACTCAGACACTGATTTCTGCCCCAAATTTCTGCCTCAAAACTGATCCTCTCAAACTGATACCCAGACTTGCAACTGATACATACATTCCTGCAGAGTTGCACTCTAAAAGCACGTATCAAGCAAGTGAGAGCCAAAACACCCCTATGATAGGGTAGGGTTACCCTATCCTAATCTCATTAGGAGCTAGGGATTCACTACGCAAACAAGCGGTTTCATACAATCCTGCGTTCGGGTGAACAACCTGTCCTAGTTTGGAACAGTCTCTATGGCTTCCGATATTCAACTAGGTCAATTAGTCAAAAAAGGTACCTCAGCAAGACTACCTAATATACCTCTCGCTTCAAACACCGAGAAGTGAAAGGAGGATCAAACGGTATAGCGGAAGTCCAGGTCCAAGGCTTGTGTTCCCATCGTGGCAGAGCCTGCAACTGGTCAGCTTTATGGCAAGCTTTTCCAAGCAAGCCTCCAGCAAGCCGCTCGGGAATAGCAGATGGCAAACACTGTGACTTAAGCGCACCAATGCAAATGCAAATGCAAAGAAACACATAAGTGTAGATAAAAGAACATATCATGAGTGTGACTCAAGTTCTCTAAGTTCCCCAGCAGAGTCGCCAGAAATTGTAGCTCGACTTTCTCGTGCCCCAGTTTCGGAGAGCTCAAATTGGTCCTATAGTTCAGACTCCTGTCACAGTTCGGAATCTAATCTCACAAAGTGCAATGTGAGACCGATAAACACCAAAGAGTCTAATCCGGCAAATCATTTTGGAAAATCGATTTTGAATCAAATAATGCCAAAACTAGACTGCTTTTCCAGATTACAGAGTCGCCACCTAAATATTTTGTTTTTGGAAAATATAAGAAACCCTGACTCGTGCCAAAGGCCACGTGTTCGTCATCACCAAAGTTGTCTCGGCTCGAGAACTTGGGTACGAGAGAGGAAGGTCCTAAAATGAGCACCCCCGCTCGCACAATCAAAAGACCTGCCTTTACTAATCAGGATATGTTGTTTTATAAACCTCATGTGTTCTTATTCCAATTATTAACTAACTTTACTATGTGACGCACACAAGAAAGTATAGACTAAAATCGCAAGAATTGGAACAAAACAACTCATGTTTGTTTTTGAAAATGGTTTGAAGTTGCCACCCTCGAGTGGGCTAAAACACGGATTTGCCACCTCTAGTGGGCCTAAAACATGATTTGCCACTTCGCAAAGTGGGCTTAAAACTCACATTTATTGAATTGCTCTAATTCAAGCAACAAAGCCTTCATCCACAGGCATTCATTCAGTTAAGCATTTAAGCACATAGCCTCATGGCAAGCATGCGAAACATGGCAATATGGCAGTCACACTCATGCAAGCATGATAAAGCATAAAAATCACCGAGTACTCCAAGCCAAAACAAGAAAACTAGTTAGAAATATGCATGATCCTAGCTATGTTAAGATGCCTAATGCAACACATGCAATATGAAATTAATAGGCTCGGCTACTAATATAGCATATGATTTGATTCAATTTGATAACATGCTTTTAAACACGTATTCAAAGAAGTGTATTGAAATTGTGATGCAGTTTGAATGATGCACTGAGCCTCGGTGCATGCAAGACAAATAAATGATGCAAACATGTAAGCATAAGGTATGCTAATCGAAACATGAGCCTAAACTAACCATCGAAAGTGGTTAAGTAAAAGGGAGAAAGACGTGGGGTTGGAAGACATGCACATACGCATGCACACTTATTACAACATTACGCCCTCGCAAAGGAGGGACAGAATGAATAAGCTAAGCTACACTAAGCTAAGCTAATCAAACTAATTTAATTAAGCTAATTAGACAAATTATTACAAACCAAATGAATAACTAGTAAACTAATTACTAATTATTACAACCCTTTAACTAATTAGCGAACTAGTTAATTAAAGCAAATGTATACTAACTAATCATGCAAGATATTTAAACTACACTGCCTCAACTCTACCTCGAGAAATGGAGGATGCATGCACTCGGTTTTCGCCTCGAAAAGCCTTCAGTTTTACTCTTGAGAGGCTCTGTTTGCAGGGCTGACCATACTCCAGAACCTTTCTGCTCCACCTTACCAAATCAATGCTGAGGATTGCATCAGTGGCCTACCAGCCATGAATGCCTTCTGCCAGCCATCTACCAACCAAAAGTGTGCCCTGCTGGCCAAGAATGAGGCACTGCCAGCCACCAATGAGCCACTGCCGGCCATTGGTGCTCTGAGTCACTACACTGCAACAGAGCATAAACAGAGGGAAATGGAGGGTTTTCTAAGGATATGTTTGTACTGTGCCCCTCCTTGTCATCTCAAACCATCAAAAGAGTGGCATTCTTTGATCCAAAACCACCAACCAAGCATCTTTGATGCATGATGGCCAAAGATCCAAGGAATACAATTTCAATAAATGCACAAACCAAGACTCGAGGCCGTCACCTTATCATGTGTGATCAAAGGCAATGGAGACCAAGGAGATTGGTTCATTTCATCACTTTAAGTATGAAATGGTCCAATCTTCCTTGTGTTCAATATAACGTCCGATTGAACACATGCAATGCAACGCAACATGTTTAACTTGCTCAAGTTTTACTTGTCATGTTTTGTTTACTCATTTTAATTATCGATCCATTCTTTAACCGGTTAAGTCCAAGGTGAGTGTCCTCTAATGAGAGAGGGGTCAACCAAAGGATGACTTAAGACATGAGAGAGATCATGCCGTTGGTTAGTAGAAACCCTCAAAAGAGGATTAAAACCATTAAGCACAAGTCTCAATCTCAGGCTTAAACACAACCTTAAGGCTAACCAACCCTCAAAGCAAATGAAAAAGTGAAGAAATTAGGGAGGTTGCAGATATTTCAGTACTGAAATAACATGCAAAATGATATTACAACAGGCAAGCAACTCATGCACAACATGTTAAAAAGCCAAAGACACCAAACTAGTGAAGATCACTACACTATAAGCATGCAATACAAAGCTCCAAAGGTACAAACACTTCAAAACAGTCCTCAAACAGCTTAAAAGGAGTCCTAAAACATGCTTGAAATAAGCTAAAAATAGCTAGAATAGGAGGCCAACACATAACACAAACTAGACTATTAAGCACAATTACACTACAAGCACACAAAGCAAGCCTCAAGTGACCAAACCAGCTCAAAAAGAGCTAAAACTAGTCAAAAAAAAGTAGAAAAAACATGCTGAGATTAAGCTACAAAATGCTAGAAAATCATGCTCACATGTTAGGCTATCTAGGCTTACAAACAAGACACAAGGACGGGAGACTACCCCCTCCCATTTTGGACCTCAAAACATAGTTTTTACCACTGAAAATCCTCTAGAATTTAGTGGTTAAAAGAGCCAAAAAAGTTGTTTTAGAAAGCTTTGAAAGATGGCACAACAACATAATAACCAAGCAACAAGAAGAGTAGACTACCCCTAATTCCAATCAAACCTCAAACCACCATTTTAGACCATAAAAATAGAGATGTCAGAGGTCAAAACCAGCCTCAAAACAATATGCAAAGATGGAAAAACAAGTGTTTAAAATAAGCTTAAAACACAAATGTTCTACCTTTTGAAGACAAGATGCAATTTAGGCACCAAAATCAAGCCAATATCCTCTTCTAGAGCTCAAATAGGACCTCAAGCAACCTCTACTCAATGATAATAAAGTGTGATCAAGGGCTTATATGCAAGAGTGTAGAGAATTCAAGCTACAAGGCACAAAATATTTAGAGAGAGGATTCTAGAGAGGGAGATTTTTTTGTCTTTAAAATTTCCAACCCCCATACATGCAAGAGGGGGCCTTTATATATAGAAGATACAAAATCCCCTCAAAGAGATCTAGCCATACACGTGCAAGATGATAGCTCAATCTGTGCAAACAGCTGGCACAAAATATTAGAAAATATCTACTGATACACTGGTGGTCGGCCAACCATCAGTGATGGCCAGCAGGGGCTCATTGATTGTCGGCAGGGCACATCAATGGCTAGCAAGACAAAATTCATGGCTGGCAGTGCCCAAACATGGCCGGCAGTGCATCAAAAACAACAAGCTGAAAGGGCCTACACAAGGTCCAAAAATGAAACAAAATGGATGCAGGTTTTGGAAAACTCAAACCTGTAGCGCTCCGCCGCGAACTTCCAGCGCTCGACGAGCAATCAAACTCATCATCGGATGTACCTGCAAGAACATCCAAGTCTTGAGAATGGTCAAAAATGGGGTATCTACAGTCTGCCAAATCATCCTCCACCTGACGATTATGTCTTCGTCGATGATCGGAAAGATTACCGTCCTCTCCATCACCGAAAGAAGACGAACCATCGTCTAACTCTTTTCCAATAGGTGGTATGCAAGTGCCCAGAATGTGAATCCTCTGAAATTTGCATTCAAAAACTCTAATCTAATGTTGTAGAGAAAATTGCCCACCTTTAGTTTTATATAACCATTGATTGGTTCTTTAGAGCTTGTGCTCAGTAGAACCCTTCCCCTCTTGAGTTCTTTTCGATTTGCACTTCTGTCACCAACACCAAGAGCCATGCCCCCATTAGTAGGGACGGACTAGGATTTCTTTACTGAGGGTAAAAAGAAAATTAATTTTTTTCAATACACAAATATATATTTACAATATAATATATAATTATATATACATAGAAAAAAAAATAAATACTATAGGAGTAATTCTAATAAGATGATGAAGTTTTTTTGGTGTAAAATATGAACACTACTAGAAAAAGTACTTTTTGTAACCGTCATAAACCGTTGCAAATAATAAAAATATAGTTACAAAAGACCTTTTGTGACGGCCCATGCGACCGCAATTATTTGTGGCCACCCAAACTACTTATGGCGACTGCTATTTTGCCGTCGCAAAAAATAAAGAAAAAAAATACTAACAGTTTTTTTGGCAATCATGTTGTTACTGTCGCAAATAGTTTTTAATGATATTTATAAATAGTACAATAATAGCTTTTTCGCAACGAATTTTTTGTTGTCGCAAATAATTTTTTTTATAAATATCGTACATCATTTCTTTCAAGTACAAGCTCCTAACAAAGTTCTTTAAAAAATCTGAATAATATAGTCAGATTTACATAATATGCCTTTCATAAGCCATGATACAAACACATGCCTCTACAAACTCATGTAATCAGATTTACATAATATGCCTTTCATATATAGGAATATCAAGTTTATAACTTGCATTCAGGCCATAGGTAAAGTTATGTCTAAACTTTCTTTGGCATTGTTTGGTTGTTTTATCGTTGAATTTTGATGCAATCATAGGTGAACTGCAAACATACATTCTGATAAAAACCATCAATTTCATTCGTCGACACTAACCTCTAATCACATCAATACGACAAAAATGAAAATTGATTAGAAAATCTATACTTTTCGGTTCCATGAATTAGGTTGAGAATCTTGACACTTACCGAAACTAGGGTGACAAGCAGTTCAATTAGGAAAATTGCAACATCAACCTTCTTATATGTGTCAGTAGATATATGAACGCATAATTCTACATAAGCAACAAGAGCTTCATTTCCATCTGATGGTGTAATTTCACCCTGGGTTGTTAAATGAATAATAATTTTAAATGAATATGAGAAAGGGGGTTGTTAAATGAAGTAGAGGTTTATGTCTGACCATCAAACAAGTGTAATTTTTTTTTTTAAACAATTACTTTCTCTCCTATATCTGCTTTGGTACCATAAACTTGAACTTTTGCTCCTATTTCCTAATTTGAACATTTAAATGAAAGTTAATGAAAAAATTGACAACATTCAATATAAAATCTCCATTTGGCATACATCAGCCATCGATTAAATCAAAAATCTAAAACAACGCAGCATTGAGGCATAATGTCTTTATATGAAAAATTACCTTCTTCAACCGTTTTTGAGTATCACTTGCAAGGTCAAATATTAGACCAATAAAATTGTACCCTAGACTTTGATCTGCAGAGGAAAAACACCATTTTTTTTTTCAAAAGGAACAAAAAGTTCATTTGTTCCACTAAATACTGATCCAAATATCATAATACATCTCAATGGTCTCAACTTAATGGACTATCTCAAATATATTTAGGTTTAATCACCTGAGGAGTACAGTTTTGATTTTAGAATCAATATGACATACATACAAATTTAAGAAAGATCCATGCATAGAATAAAAACGCTTATATGAGTAAGGAGTAATTTAAAATCCATGCTAGCAAAAAGTCTAGTTGCACATCTCCCCTTTCCACTTTCTTCACATCCTTGGATCTCCCAATCTAATTTAATACCCAATCCTCCAATATAATAATACATTGTTTACCTACGTATTGCAAAAATATATTATATGGAATTCAAAATATGCATTTCCTTAAAATGCACCTATATGAATCGCTAAAGTTATAGTAAACCCTCAAAAAAATTGCCAAAGTTATTGGGTGAATATCAAAAAAGTGAAGAGAAAGAAAAATAATTTCGAAATGATGGAAATACAAGTTATTTATGGATTAGATTTTGCAAGTATCACTTTGAAATTATTTTTTCTACCCTCCAATTTTTTGATGTTCTCCCAAAGTTATTCTCGCCATAGGGTGGTTGTATAAGAAATGCAGAAGTTATGTTTGGCTATTACCTACTGTCAAATCATCACATGTAAAATAACAACAACAACAACAACAACAACAATAATAATAATAATAATAATAACAACTAACTAACTAATAAAAGTCTTCGGGAGTCTCGTTAGTCATGTTGCAGAGATTATAATCCCATAATATGGGCCATAAATGTTCTTCGATGCTGGAAGAGATAAGAGAAACAGGGTTACCTCTAATGTGATCAATAAAAGGAACAATCTTAGGAAGAGGTCAGATAAAGGCTTTTAGGAGAGCCATGATTTTAAGCAATTTATATTCTGCACAAAGATTAACATGTTACAAAGCTAACATGTCTATCCAATCTACATCCTACAAATTCTGATTTATGTTATAATGCCATCTAACCGCATGATTTTTTTCATTTTTCCATAGCAACATTCCAATATTTAAAACATATAAGAGAGAAGAAATACATATAGGGGGTCTCTCATCATTTATATTGCTAATATATTTAAATCATTAGTTTAGTTTTTCCAAGAGAAAGAAATACAGTACGATGATTTCATGCTATAATTGAGAATACATACTCATACACACACCCCATTGGGAATTGCTGAAAAGCCATAAAGCCGTACCTAAGAGCTCACTTCATGTGTAGCTTCATCATGGACCTTCGAATACGATTTGCTATATTCAGCAAACTTCGATTCTCCATTGTCATTCTAATAAGCAAAAAACTTAGTGAAACTTAATAGCATTTAAGAAGGGAAATGAAGTAACGAATTGGACAACAATGATATAAAACGATGATAAAAGTATTACAACTCTAATTTCTAATTGTTTGACGAAATACATAAAAATAATCTGTGGCCACCCAAAGTCTAGTAACATCCACTATAATAGTCTCACTTTATGGTCAAAGAAGATGTCTACCAATTAAATTTAATACATATTGCTACATCTACATGGAGAAATAGCGACTAAACAAATTTCATTTCGTTGTCATAGCTATTAGCCCTATTAGAGCAACAGAATGAAGAATCAAGAATGGAATCTCATTAGGAGGAACATGATGTCATTATACATAGGTGCCATGTTCAAGTGTTCAAACAAGATAAAAGTTCTGCCCTAGAAGAAAGGCATTCTTTGCATATGAAAGTTCAAATAGAGCGTTGCCACAAACATAGATATAAATCATCATTTGCTCATTGTAGACACCCCATTTTTGACCGACCTTAAGACTCAGACGTCATCGATTGAGTGCTCGGTGATAGTGCGTGTTGTGCTCGTTTCGAGTTTCCGGAGTTTTGGCCGAGTGCCTTGCCCCCGGGCCTCTTAACTCTTTGTGTTTCAGCTCGATTTGTGGGCTAGGCCTTGTTTCTCTTCCCTAGAGGGAGGGAGTAGTTTGGTAGACCATCGCTTTGTGGCTGTAGACCACTTTTTGTGGTCGTAGGCCACTTTTCCCGTTTGGAGACTAGTTTCCAATTTTCGGAGCCTTTGGCTGCGTGCCTTGTCTCGGGACCGCTTAACGTTCTCCGTTTGGCGTGGTTTTTCAACCACACCTTGTTTCCTTGGCCTAGAGGGCCACTGTGGTTTGGGAGACCACTTTTGTGGTCGTAAACCACTTTTGGTGCTCGACAGCTAGTTTTCGAGGCTCCCGGCTGCGCGCTTTGCCTCCCGAACTTTCGTCTTGCGTCCGTTTTCGTTTGTTTTTGGTAAAAACCTTGTTTTCCTTGTTTGGAAAGTGGTACAAGGGTGGGAGAGCGGTATTTCCCCTTGGAGACCACTTTTCCTCCTGCCTGCCAGTTTTCTAGTCTCACAACTAGTCTCCCTGATCTTTAGACCATCAAAAGTGGTCGGCCACCACACCATTTGCTTGTTTTCATCCTCTGGACTCTCTCCCACCATGGCCGACCAGTTGTTGTTCTCGGAGACCACTTAAAGTAGTCGGCCGACCACTTTAAGTAGCTGGCCGACCACTTTAAGTGGTCGGCTTCTTTTTGGCACCTTTTTGGAGATATTTTCCTCCAACTCGCACAGCTGGAGGGCACCAGAGCCATCCTCCATACACGTGTATGGAGGGATTGATTTGAGCCTTAGCTTCTTGGAGAAGCTTTGCCTTTTGTTCTCTATAAGAGGGAGGCTCCTCCTCCCTCCTCTAGTTTCAAAAAAATCTCCCTTGAGATATACATATAGCCTTGTATCTGTATCTCTCTTTTGTTCTTGTTTTGTGCCTTAAAAGTGTAGTTTTGTCTCACTTTTGTACACAAACACACACTCAAACACCTTGCTTGTGTTGCTGAGGCATCTTGAGGTTGTTTTTGAAGTTCTTGGACTGGTTTTGGTTCAAAAAGTGGACTGGAATTACAGTTGTAAAAGTGGTCTTCAAGGGTGAGTTTTAACCTTTTAAACCCCCATTTTTGCTTAAGCTTTTGAACCTATTCGCATGCTGTTTTGAGCCTAACTTCCTATTGAAAACAGTTCAGATTTTTGGCCCTTAAGAAGTTTGTTTAAGGTCACTTTTTCGTTGGGGGTGATCTACCCCCTCTTAGGCCTTGTTAGGCCTTGTTTTGAGCCATCCCTTTAGGCTCTTTTTGTAGCCTTTGCATGACCTTTCTATCACTAAAATCCAGAGGATTTTCAGTGGTGGAAAGGTGGTTTTGGAGTATTAAATAGAAGAGGGTCATCCCCTCTCCTTGTGTCTTGTTTACTTGTTTCATATGCCTCATGTTTGAGCATGTTTACTAAGCTTGTGTTAGCTTGTTCTTAGCATGTATTTGGGGCTATTTCAGCATGCCTTAGATCTGTTTTGACTTGTCTTAGTCATTCCATGCATGCCTTATACACTTGTAGTGTAAATCACACAAACTAGTCTTGTATGGTTCATGAAGTAGCATGTTATTCTAGCTTGTTTTGTTTCCATTTCAGCATGTTTTTGGTGATGTTTTGCCATCTCATACCTCTGTTAGGGTTTGGTTTGGTCACCTCTTGCATGCCTCATGCACTTATGGTGCAATTCCATGAAATAGCCTAACATGCATCATGCTTTGACATGTCATTCTAACATGATTTTGGCTTAACTTCAAGAAGCTTTTGTCCATGTTTTAGCATGTTCTAGGACTGTTTTGGGTTGCGTTGGTCACATGCTTCATGCTTTGTTTAGCTGTAGTGCAATTGGCCTTGCTAGCTTTGTGTTTTGTTGACTCATGCATGCTATCTTTCAGCTATTTAGATTATTTGGTGTCATTTAATACTTCATTTCAGAGCTTATAGCATTGCCATGTTCCCACTTCTTTCATGCTTTGAGTGCCTTTAAGTGTTGTGCATTGTTGCCTTACTTATGGCTTAGCTCGTATGTCATCTTGCCTTTGAGCCCCATAATTTAGCATGCTTTGGTCCATGTTTAGACCAACTTGAGCTCTGTCCATGGTCGGTCCATGCATATTTTCCATGTATTGCATGCCTCCTTTGTAGTCCTGTTTACTAGCTTCATGCCTTAAGGACTCTTGCATGCCTTACTTGCTTTGTTTGAATGATTTGGCATCATTTCTTACCTCATTTCAGTACACTGGGTGTTGTTACACTTCCATGTTTGTCACTCCTTGAGCCCTCTTGAGAGTTGTGCTCTTAGTCTTCTTTGATGGGCCATTGCATGTGCATGCTTATATATATGCTTCATGTGCCTTAATTTTATCACCAATGGCCACTAATTTGGGCATGGTTGAGGCCTATCCATTTTGGTTTAAGTTCATTGTGCATTGTGTATGCCATGTAGTTCATAGCATTGAGTATGCCATGTTGTTTGCGTGATTAATTTAGCATTGTGTATGCCATGTTCATTGCATTGTGTATGTTAGTTACCATTTGCATTGCGTATGCTAGTTGTCATGAGCATTGTGTATGCCATGTAGTTCATAACATTGTGTATGCTAGTATGCTAATTGCATGTTTGCACACTTGTCCCTTGCATGTTTGCATGCTTAAATTGTATTGCATTGAGTTGCATGCTTGAGTCACATTGTGTATGCCATGTTTGTGTTGCATTGTGTTTGGGATAAGTGTTAGTCCAAACATGGGAAAAGTGGGACGTTTCATACTTAAAGTAATGAAACGTGCCTCGATTCTCGATCGTCGACGCTCCTGATCATACATGATAGAGTTTGAGGCTTTATGTGTTTACTTGTGCATTCAGTTTACATTGAATTGTACAATTTGACTTCTCGGCCATCATGCATTGAAATGCGTGATTGGTGGCCTGAGGGTCGAGAACCACACTCCCTTGAGTTCATGACATGATAGGGAGAGTGGTTGTGCACACATATCTTGCAACTACATTGCCATGCCCCTTTCTTGCTCTTTGTTGCA